TGTGATCCACACCGGTCCACTACACCCATAATGTGACCCACACCATTCCACTAACACCCATAATGTGACCCACACCAGCCCACTAACACCCAGGATGTGACCCACACCAGTCCACTAACACCCAGGATGTGACCCACACCAGTCCACTAACACCCAGGATATGACCCACACCAGTCCACTAACACCCAGGATGTGACCCACACCAGTCCACTAACACCCTGAATGTGACTCACACCAGTCCACTAACACCCAGGATGTGACCCACACCAGTCCACTAACACCCAGGATGTGACCCACACCAGTCCACTAACACCCAGGATGTGACCCACACCAGTCCACTAACACCCTGGATGTGACCCACACTGGTCCACTAACACCCATAATGTGACCCACACCAGTCCACTAACACCCAGGATGTGACCCACACCAGTCCACTAACACTTAGGATGTGACCCACACCGGTCCACTAACACCCTGGTACCCATTTTTCTGATTCGTGAACATAGACAACTAGCGTAATTAAACACATCCAATGTTTCCTCTCCTTCGCCGGGAATCGAACCCGGACACACAACGTGTGAAGCGAGAGCTTTTGGCACCAGTCCACGGGGCACGGGTTAGAAGTACAGTCTAGTTATTATGAGTTATTAAGGGTGAGTGAGATACGGAGTTTAGTTTGGGGCGTATGCTAGGGAACTACGTGCTTTCCCTGAGGCTTCCACACTGAGAGGGTTAACTGAAATATATCCCTGAGGCTTCCACAATATGAGGGTTAACTGAAATATATCCCTGAGGCTTCCACAATGTGAGGGTTAACTGAAATATATCCCTGAGGCTTCCACAATGTGAGGGTTAACTGAAATATATCCCTGAGGCTTCCACAATGTGAGGGTTAACTGAAATATATCCCTGAGGCTTTCCACAATGTGAGGGTTAACTGAAATATATCCCTGAGGCTTCCACAATGTGAGGGTTAACTGAAATATATCCCTGAGGCTTCCACACTGAGAGGGTTAACTGAAATATATCCCTGAGGCTTCCACAATGTGAGGGTTAACTGAAATATATCCCTGAGGCTTCCACACTGAGAGGGGCTGAGTGTAGTGTGTTCCTGAAGCAGAGTTCTTCAACTTTCACTACAGTCACTGCTTCTTCCACCTATTTTTCACTGTTTTACATGTCTCTTTCAGCTGTTGTCTCTCCTGTAACGTTCTGTCCTGGTCAAGGAACACACGGTGATATCTCTCCGTTCTCACCACAGCCTTAAGATCTGATCTCGTGTCACGTGTGTGTGTGAGTGTACTCGCCTAGTTGTGGTTCCAGGGGTTGGGTCGCAGCTCCTGGCCGCTACTCAATCACTCTTCCCTCTCTGTGAGCTTTATTATACCTCTTCTTAAAGCTATGTAGGGATCCTGCCTCCACTACATCACTACCGAGGCTATTCCACTTCCTGAAAACTCTGTGACTGAAGAAATACTTCCTTACATCCGTGTGATTCATCTGAGTCTTCAACCTCCAACTGTGACACCTCGTTGCTGTGTCCCATCCCTGGAGCATCCTGTCTCTGTCCACCTTGTCTATACCTCTCAGTATTTTATATGTCGTTATCATGTGTGTGTGTACTCACCTAGTTGAGGTTGCGGGGGTCGAGTCCGAGCTCCTGGCCCTGCCTCTTCACTGATCGCTACTAGGTCACTCTCCCTGAACCGTGAGCTTTATCATACCTCTGCTTAAAGCTATGTATGGATCCTGCCTCCATTACATCGCTTCCCAAACTATTCCACTTACTGACTACTCTGTGGCTGAAGAAATACTTCCTAACATCCCTGTGATTCATCTATGTCTTCAATTTCCAACTGTGTCCCCTTGTTGCTGTGTCCAATCTCTGGAACATCCTGTCTTTGTTCACCTTGTCAATTCCTCTCAGTATTTTGTATGTCGTTATCATATCTCCCCCCACCTCTCCTGTCCTCAAGTGTCGTCAGGTTAATTTCCCTTGACCTCTCCTCGTAGGACGTACCTCTTAGCCCTGGGACTAGTCTTGTTGCAAACCTTTGCACTTTCTCTAGTTTCTTTACGTGCTTGGCTAGGTGTGGGTTCCAAACTGGTGCCGCATACTCCAATATGGGCCTAACATACACGGTGTACAGGGTCCTGAACGATTCCTTATTAAGATGTCGGAATGCTGTTCTGAGGTTTGCTAGGCGCCCATATGCTGCAGCAGTTATTTGGTTGATGTGCGCTTCAGGAGATGTGCCTGGTGTTATACTCACCCCAAGATCTTTTTCCTTGAGTGAGGTTTGTAGTCTCTGACCCGCTAGACTGTACTCCATCTGCGGTCTTCTTTGCCGTTCCCCAATCTTCATGACTTTGCACTTGGTGGGATTGAACTCCAGGAGCCAATTGCTGGACCAGGTCTGCAGCCTGTCCAGATCCCTTTGTAGTTCTGCCTGGTCTTCGATCGAATGTATTCTTCTCATCAACTTCACGTCATCTGCAAACAGGTACACCTCGGAGTCTATTCCTTCCGTCATGTCGTTCAGAAATACCAGAAACAGCACTGGTCCTAGGACTGACCCCTGTGGGACCCCGCTGGTCACAGGTGCCCACTCTGACACCTCGCCACGTACCATAACTCGCTGTTGTCTTCCTGACATGTATTCCCTGATCCATTGTAGTGCCTTCCCTGTTATCCCTGCTTGTGTGTGTGTGTGTGTGTGTGTGTGTGTGTGTGTGTGTGTGTGTGTGTGTGTACTCACCTATTTGTACTCACCTATTTGTACTCACCTATTTGTGGTTGCAGGGGTCGAGTCCTAGCTCCTGGCCCCGCCTCTTCACCGGTTGCTACTAGACCCTCTCTCTCCCCGCTCCATGAGCTTTATCAAACCTCGTCTTAAAACTGTGTATGGTTCCTGCGTCCACTACGTCATTTTCTAGGCTATTCCACTGCCTTACAACTCTATGACTGAAGAAATACTTCCTAATATCTCTCTGACTCATTTGTGTCTTCAACTTCCAATTGTGGCCTCTTGTTTATGTGTCCCCTCCCCTGTAACATCCTGTCTTTGTCCACCTTGTCTATTCCACGCAGTATTTTATATGTCGTTATCATGTCTCCCCTGACCCTCCTGTCCTCCAGTGTCGTCAGGCCGATTTCCCTTAATCTTTCTTCATAGGACATTCCCCTTAGCTCTGGAACTAACCTTGTCGCAAACCTTTGTACTTTCTCTAGTTTCTTGACGTGCTTTATCAAGTGCGGGTTCCAAACAGGTGCTGCATACTCCAGTATGGGCCTGACATACACGGTGTACAGTGTCTTGAACGATTCCTTACTAAGGTATCGGAATGCTGTTCTCAGGTTTGCCAGGCGCCCATATGCTGCAGCAGTTATCTGATTGATGTGTGCTTCCGGAGACATGCTCGGTGTTATACTCACCCCAAGATCTTTCTCCTTGAGTGAGGTTTGCAGTCTTTGGCCACCTAGCCTATACTCTGTCTGTGGTCTTCTGTGCCCTTCCCCTATCTTCATGACTTTGCATTTGGCAGGATTAAATTCGAGAAGCCATTGTCAAGTTCAACTTACTTGGGAGACAGCAGGTGCAGCTCCGTCCCTTACACCACCTGTCCTTGGTCTTGGAGTCACACACACCTGCATGGCGACTCACACATGTACCAAGCTTCCTCCTGCACTTGCCTGACGTCTTGCATCTTCTCCCTGAATTCTTCTTTGTCTTCCTTGATCCTGATAAGACAAACTCTGCTCAGAAAGTGATTACAGCTACTAGATATATAAACACAACGGAGGACGGGAGGCTCGACAAGTGGTCCCTAGATTAACAGGGACTTTCCCTGCTAGCTACAGTGGCTTCTAACAGGGAAGATTTAGAAGCAGTTCTTCTGTACTTGTCTACCATCAGAGGCACCAATTGGCACCCAACTGAATCCTTACCACAGCTAAGAAGCTGTGTGTGCAATAATTTGTGTGTGCAATAATTTTGTGTTTGGAATAATTTGTGTGTGCAATAATTTCGCAAAAATCATTCTGAACCTAAAGAAAAAAATAAATTTCATTGTGTTTGTTTATTATTAAATTATTGAAAACTTATCTATAATATATTTAGCTGTGTTAGGCTAAATTAAATTGCGGTTGTTATAATAAGGTTAGGTAAGTTTTCTAAGGTTCTTTTGGTACTAGATTATTAATTTTTATATTAACGTAAATGAAAAAATATATATATTTAAACGTATATGAGAAAATTTAAGAAAGGGCTTTATTTTAAATGAGTTCTTGCATAGTGACCAGTTGTACCTATTCAACACGATGTATATATATATATATATAAATATATATATATATAATATATGTGTGTGTGTGTGTGTGGTGTGTGTGTGTGTGTGTGTGTGTGTGTGTGTGTGTGTGTGTGTGTGTGAGTGTGTGTGTGTAGTGTGTGTGTGAGTAGTGTGTGTGTGTGTGTGTGTGTGTGTGTGTGTTGTGAGTGTATGTGTGAGTGTGTCTGTGAGTGTGTGTGTGTGTGTGTGTGTGAGTGTGGTGTGAGGTGGTTGGGGGTTGGTGTGTGTGAGTGTGGGTGGTGAGTGTGTGTGTGAGTGTGTGGTGAGTGTGTTGGTTGTGTGGTGTGTGTGAGGTGTGTTTTTGGGGTGTGTGTGTGTTGGGGGGTGTGGTGTTTGGGGTGTGTGTGATTTTTGTGTTTATTTTTTGTGTGGTGTGTGGTGTTGGGTGTGGAGGTGTGTGTGAGTGGGGTGGGTGTGGGGTGTGAGTGGGGTGTGTGTGGTGTGTGTGTGTGGGGGTGTGGTTTGTGTATGTGTGTGGTGTAGTGGGTGGTGTGTGTGTGTGTTGGGGTGTGTGGTGGTGTGTGTGGTGTGTGTGGGGTGTGTGTGTGTGGTGTGTGTGTGTGTGGTGTTGTGTGTGTGTGTGTGTGTGGTGTGAGTGTGTGGGGTGTGTGAGTGTGTGTGTGTGTGTGTGTGTGTGGTGTGTGTTGATGTGTGTGGGTGTGTGTGTGTTGTGTGTTGTGAGTGGTGTGAGTGTGTGTGTGAGTGTGTGTGGTGTGGTGTGTGTGTGTGTGTGAGTGGTTTTTGAGTTGTGTGTGAGTGTGTGTGTGAGTGTGTGTGTTGTGTGAGTGTGTGTGTGTTGTGAGTGTGTGTTTGAGTGGGTGTGTGTGTGTTGTGGTTGTGGGTGTGGTGTGTGTGTGTGTGTGTGTGTGGTGTGGTGTGTGTGTGAGTGTGTGTGTGGTGTGTGTTGTGTGTGTGTGTGGGGTGTGTGTGTGAGTGTGTGTGTTGGTGTGTGAGTGGTGTGTGTGGTGAGTGTTGTGTGTGTGTGTGTGGTGTGGTGAGTGTGTGTGTGTGTGAGTGTGTGTGGGGGTGTGTGGGGTGAGTGTGTGGGTTTTGGTGTGAGTGTGTTTTGTAGTGTGGTGGTGAGTGTGTTGTGGTGTGGGGTGTGTGTGGAGTGTATGTGGTTGGTGTGTGTGTGTGGTGTGATGGTGTGTGTGTGAGTGTGTGTGGTTGTGAGTGTGTGGTGGTGTGTTGTGTGTGGTGTGTGAGTGTGGGGTGTGTTTTGGGGTGGGGTGTGTGTGTGTGTGTGTGTGTGTGTGTGGTGTGTGTTTGTGGGTGTGTGTGTGTGGTTGGTTGTGAGGTGTGTTTGTGGTGTTGTTGTGCTGTGTTGTGTTTTGTGTACAAAAACCCAAAAAACTAATATTTGGAAGAAAGATAGAAGTTAATTTTATATAAATAATATATATTAATAATTTTTATTTAAAATATTATATAAATTATATATTATTATTTTTATATTAAATTATTAATTTTTAAAAATTACCCTCCAACCCCATAAAACACAAAACCTAATGGCCAGAGACAATAATCCATTGCCCGGAAACAATTGAACACTATCATAAATTACAACTTTGCCTCCCAACAAAACTTACAAATAAAAACTTCAAATAAGCAATTCTACTCGTATATAAATTAAACTACTTTTAAACAACACTCCTCCCATTTGGCTCAGCACTCCGGGGTTTAAGCCCAAATTAACCCCTCTTGGCACAAGTTGCAAATGGTAACATCGTGAGGAAACCAACTTGAAGCTTTTAAAGAGGTAATTATTGAAGAACGGAGTCCGGGGCGAGTTGACAAATACCCACATTGGGGCGAATTATCTACCTCGGGGTTCTAACAAGTTGGAAGTCTTCAGGGCTGGAAATCCAATCCGGGCGGTGTTTTGGCTGAAACACCGGGGGTGGATCTCCCAGCCACGGACATCCATCTCATCTTGGCCCCGTCTGAACTGCAGGGGGTTGAGTTTAATCTTAAAATGTTGGATAATATGAAGGTTAATGTGGGGTTGTGGGGCGGAGTCTGACAGGTGGCTGGAGTCTGACAATGGTGACATGGGAGCCCACAGGTGGCTGGAGTCGACAGGTGGCTGGAGTCTGAGGTGGCTGGAGTCTGGCTGTGGCGGGAAATCTGACAGGTGGCTGGAAATCTGAGAGGGGGCCGGAGTCTGCGGTGGCTGAAGTAGACAGGTGGCGGAGTCTGCGGTGGCTGAGTCTCAGGTGGGTGGAGTCTAAACAGGTGGCTGGAGTCGGGCTGGTGGCTGAAGTCTGACAGGGGGCTGGGTCTGACAGGGGCGGGAGTCAGAATGTGGCGGGGTCGGTGGTGGCTGAAGTCGAAGGTGGTGGGCTGACAGGTGGCGGAGTCTGAAGGTGGCGGAGTTGAAGGTGGCGGGAGTCTGCAGGTGGCTGGAGTTGACGGTGGGGGAGTTGACAGGTGGTGGAGCTGGCTGGTGGCTGAAGCTGACATTTTTGGTGGAGTTAAATGGGGGGAGTTGGCTGGTGGCGAAGCCTGAAGGGGGGCTGGATTTGAAGTTGGGGGAGTCTGACAGGTGGTGGAGTCTGCCAGGGGGCCCGGAGTCTGGGGTGGCTGAAGTCTACAGGGGGCTGGAGTTGACAGGTGGCTGGGTCTGGTGGGGGCTGAAGTTGAAGGGGGCGGATTTGAAGGTGGGGGGATCTGGTGGTGGTGAACCCTGACGGGTGGCTGGATTTGACATTTGGCGGGGTTGAAGGTGGCGGAGTCTGCCAGGGGGCCCGGAGTTGGCGGGGTGGCTAAAGTCTAAAGGGTTTGGGGGAGTCTAAAGGGTGGGGAGCTGGCTGGTGGCTGAATCTCCCCAGGGGCGGGAGTCTGCCAGGTGGCTGGAGTTACAGGTGGGGGGAGTTGCAGGTGGTTGGGAGTCGGGCTGGGGGCTGAAGTTGAAGGTGGCTGGAGTTGACAGGTAAACTGGAGTCGACAGGTGGGGAGTTACGGGTGGTGGAGTCTGAAGAGGGCGGAGCGACGGTGGATGGTTTTTTGCAACCCTGAAGGGTTTACAATGATTATTAGATATATGAAAAGTTATTACCTTTTCATATAATTTTAATTTCTTATATTGCGATAATAGTAATCGTAAAGTATTGCCTTATATGTTATTTGTTATGTTTTAGGAGTCATAATTGTGCTCAGTTCAAGTCTTGATTTTTCAAACTACTGTATTTTCGCTTGCGCCGTTATACTGCCGGGTTCGAGCTGGCTGCCACGGGGCTACACGTGATCGAGGGGGGGGTGTCCTCACCTCTCGTGAAGTAGTCAGTCTGCTGGAGACTCGCTTGGTGGTTAGACAGATTGTCTGTCTCATTATTCTTGTTAGTTCTGTAGAACTCTGTTCACAGAACATTGTATAGACTTTGTGATTTTCGACGTTGTACTGAGGTTGTGTCTCGCTTAGACACTCTGAACATCTCAGGTCCTTAGCTATAGCTTCTGACCTAATTTTGTACTGGGTTCTGTGTATTGTCACAGTCAGGGTTTTTCCTATGCTGAACTTAGATTCAGTAGTATGGGAGTTTTGTAACTTTTGTGGAGGATCTGCTGATGGTCCCTACTTTGTGTCGTTATATTATTTCCCAGTTCCTGATTGTGTGTCGCAGTCGCTTGATATTGCATTGCTATTGGGCTTAGCATTCTTTGTTGTTCAAGCAGACTGTTCGGGTTGCCAGTCGGTCAAGAAGTTAGTTTATTTGAGGACTTTGTCAGTCACTTGTTTAAGTCTTATTCGAGTCTTGAGACATAGCTAACTACTTAAGAGCACTTACACGCATACACACACTTACTTGTACATATTTGTAATATCTTATTAAATGTTAATGTACCAGACGGTACTTAAGAATTATAAATGTGATATGTGTTTTCAGCACAATAATATTGAACTCGAGAGATTGATTTTATTTTGATTGCTGTGATTTAATTTACTTTGATAATATACCTCTAGACTTAATAAATTTATTAAATTTTAATTTCTCTAGTTAGTAGCCTACCAGTTGTAATCCTAAAGCACGATTGAACCATACTGAATTTTAATGGATAATTGGACAAGGATACTGACTACTTGTTACGAAAACCCAGTAACAGGCTGGATGCTAGAAGGGCAGTCCTTTCTAGTATTACCTGGAGATCTCTAAGCTTTTAGAATCGCGTTTTTTGTAACAGTCTATCAGGTGGCTGGAGTCTGACAGGTGGCTGGAGTCTGACAGGTGGCTGGAGTCTGACAGGTGGCTGGAGACTGGCTGGTGGCTGAAGTCTGACAGGTGGCTGGAGTCTGACAGGTGACTGGAGTCTGACATATGGCTGGAGTCTGACAGGTGGATGGAGTCTATCAGGTGGCTGGAGTCTGACAGGTGGCTGGAGTCTGGCTGGTGG